GGGCGGGGGGACGGGAGAACCAGGGGGAACAAGCGAGGGGGAGCGGGGGCAGGAAAGGAGGGAGCCCAAGGGGGAGGGAGAGGGAAAGAAGAAGGTGGAGCGCGGAGACAAGGGGGAGGAAGGGGGAAGGAGGACGAACGACCAGAGGGGGGAGGCAGCGGGGGAAGAAGAGGAAGGGGGGGGAGGGCAGACGGAGACCAGGGGGGAGGCAGGGAGAAGGCACGGGGGGCAGGGAGGGGAGGGGCCGAAGGGAGGGAGGAAGGGCGAGAAGGAGGGGGGGCCGGGGAGAGACAGGAAGGATGGAAGGGGGAGGGGGCCAGGAAGAACGAGACGAGGGGGGGGAGGAAAGGGGGAAGCGAGCAAGAGGGGGCAGGGCCGGAAGAAGAAGAGAAGGCGGGAAGGGGGGGCAAAAGCAAGAGAGGGGAGAGGGGGGGAGAAGGGGAAGGGGGGGAGGACCGGAACGGCAGGCGCCCGAAGGAGGCAAGAGAGGCAGGGGGAAGGAGGAGGGGAAAAGGGAGAGGAGGAGGGGCAGCCGGAAGGACAGGGGGCCGAGGGAGGAAGGAGAAGGGCAGGAGGAAGGACGGGGAGGAAGGGGAGGGCGAAGCGCAGGGGAGGCGGCAGAAGAGGAGCAGGGAGGGAAGCGGCGAGGGGGGACAGGGGCAGGAGGACCACGGCAGGGGAACAGGACGAGGAAGGGGGGGAAGGAAGGCCGACCAAGAAAGGGGGGAACGGACAGGGGACGCGCGGGCAGCGAGGGAGGGACACCGAGAGGGAAGAGGGGAGAAGGCGGGAGGCGGGCGGCGGGGAGAGGCAGCGGGGGAGCGCAAGGGGCAGAGGCGGGGGGAGCAGGAAGGGGCCAGGAAGGAGCGGGGAGGCGGAGGAGGGAGAAGGAGGGCGACAGGGACAGGGAACGCGAAGGGGACGGAGGCACGAGGGAGGCGGGAGAAAGGGAAACAGGGAAAGGTGCAGGACCAGACGAGGGGGCGGGAGGAGGAAGGGAAGGAGGGAGGAGAAGGGGACGGAGGAGGAGAAGAAGGAAGGAAGGAGGACAGGAAGAGGGTGAGGGGAGGCAGGAGGGACGGAACGGGGGCCAAAGAAAGGGAGGGGACAAGAGGCCAGGGAGAAAAGAAGGGGCGGGGACAGGAAGGGGGGGCGGACGGCAAAGGGGAGGAAGGGGCAAAAGGGAGCCGAAAACGGGGAAAGGGGAGCGGGGGAACAGGGGGGGGGGCCAGAGGGAGGCGCCAGAAGAAAGAAGGGGAGAAGAGGAGGGCGAGGGGGGGAGGGGCAGGGGCCATGGAAGAAGAAGAAGAGGAGGAGCGGGGGAGGGAGAGGAGGGAAGCAAGGGAGAAGCGGGGAAAACAGAGGGGCGAGGCAAGGACGGGGGCCAGGAAGGCAGAAGGCAGGGAGGGGGAGAGGAGGGGAGGCGAGGGCCGTGGGGGGGAAGGAGGAAGAGGGGCGGAGAAAGGCAGCGGCGGGGGGGCAGACGCGGGAGAGGGGGGAGGCAGGCGAGCACAGGAAGGGCAGAAGAGGAAGGGGAAGGAGGCAAGGAGGGGGGGGAGAGGGAAGGGACAAAGGCAGAGCAGAGCCGGGGGGGGGAGAGGGGGGGAAGGGGGAAAGGCAGGGAGGGCGCAGAAGGGGAGCGGGAGGCAGGAAAACAGGGGCCAGGGGCGGACAGGGGAAAAAAGGGAAAGGAGAGAGCAGGACAGGAGGAGGCAAAAGGGGGGGCGCGGGGGGGGGGACGCAGCGGGGGGGGAAGAGGAAGGGGAGACGGGAAAAGCGCAGAGGGGAAAGGGCGGGAAGGGAGGCAAGGGAGGGGAAGAGAGGAGGGAAGGGGAAGGGAGGCAGAGGGGCCGAAGCAGAAGAGGAGGGGGGAAAGGAGGCAAGGGAGGAGGCCGGGAGCAAGGCAGACGGGGAGAGGGAAGGAGAGGAGGGCCGAGGGAAGGGGGACGGAGGCAGAAACGGGAGGGGCGGGAGGGCCGGAAGGAAGCACGGGGAGGCCGCGAAGGGAGGGCACCAGGGAAGCGGGAAGCAGAGGGGAACCAGACAGGGGGCGGGGGGAGACCCGACAGGGGAGGGGCAGACCCCAAACAGGGAGACAGGAAGGAGAGAGGAAGCGGGGAGACAGACGAGGGGAAGGGCCAGGACGGAAGAACAGCGGGGGCCACGAGGCGCCGGAAAGGGAGACGCGAGGGAAGGAAGGGGGGGCAGGGAGACGGAGGCGCGAACCACCGGGCCGGGGAGGAGAGGGAGAGGGCCCAGCACAAGCGGGGAGAAGCGGGGGGGCAAAAGGGGAAGGAGGCCGGGCCAAGGGGAGGGGAGGGCGGGGCAGGAAAGAAGAGCCAAAGCAGCGGGAAGGGACGGAAGGCGCGGAAGGGGGCAAGCGGGGGGAAGGAAGGAAGAGCGACAGCAGAGGCAGCGACCGAAGAGGAGGAAGGGGGAAGCACAGAAAGGGGAGGCAAGAAGGGGAGAAGGGGCGAGGGAGCGGAGAAGGGGAAGGGGGGGGGAGGAGCCACAGCAGCCGGAAGCGGGGAAAAGGAGAGAGGAAGCGGGGGAGGGGAGCACAGAAAGGGGGGGACAGAGCAGGGGGGAGGAAGGGGAGGGAAGAGGAGGAAAGGGAGCCCACAGGCAAGGGCGGGAGAGGGGGAGAAGGAAGCAGGAGGAAAGACGGGACGACGGGCAGAAGGGAGCCCACAGGCAAGGAGGGAGCGGAAGGGAGGGAGGAGGGGGAGCAGGGAGGAGAGAAAGAAAGCAAGGAGGGACGGAGGGGAGGGGAAAGAAGGGCAAGGCGAGCAGGAAGGGGAAGGGGAGGAGGGAAACGGGAGAGCAGAGGGCGGAAGGGGCCCACAGGGAGGAAGAAAAGGAACAGGAGCGCGGAAGGGGGAGCAGAAGGAGAGCAAGGAAGCGGAGGGACGAAAACGGGAGCCGACAGGCAAGGGGAGGGCAGGGGAGGCGGCAACGCAGGGGAGAAGGGGGCAGCAGAAAGAAAGGGGGCAGGGGGAGCGAAGGGAGGAAAACGGGAGCCCACAGGCAAGGGGAGGGCACGAGAGGCGGCGGGCGCGGGAGGAAGGGGGAAAAAGAGGAGCAGAAGGGGGCGGAAGGGGAGGGAAGAGAAGGAAAACGGGAGCCCACAGGCAAGGGGAGGGCAAGAAAGCCGCAACCCAGGAGAGAAGAAGGGGAGCACAAGGGCGGAGAGGGAGAAAGGCAGGGCAAGGAGAAGGCGAAGGGGCAGGGGGGCAGGGGCAAAACAGGGAGGCAGGCACGGCCCAAAAGGGAGCACGGGAGGAAGGAAGCCACGAAGCGGGCGCGGGGCGGCGGACGAACGGGAGGAAGGGACGGGAGGGACAGACACGCGGGGGAGGCCAAGAAGAAGAAAAGGGAGCGGGGGAGCCAAAGGCGAACGGGGGGGGGAAAGAGGGAGGGGGGGGGGGAGGAGGGCCAACGAGGGGGGGGAAAGAGAGCGGCAGGAGGGAGGGGGACGGGAAGGGGAACCAAAAAGGGAGGAGGGAGGAGGGCCAACGAAGGGGGGGGAAGGAGGGCGGCAGGGGGAGGGGGGCAAGAAAGCAAGGAGGAGGAGGGAGAGGAGGAAGGGCAGGGAGGAAGGGCGCGGAAGAAGAGGGGAAGCAGGGGGAGGGAGCAGGGAGAAAAAGAGCAGGAAGAGACGCCACGAAAGGGGAGGGAGGGAAGGGGGGCAGACAGGCCAAAGGGGAGGGGAGGGCAAACAAGAAGGCCAAAAGAGGCCACAAGGAGGAAGCGGGGAGGGGGGCAGAGAAAGGCAGAAGGGCAAAGGAGGGAACAGGGGGGGGCAACAGAGGGAGGAAAAGGGGGCAACAAGAGGAAGGAAGGGAGGAGAACAAAAGCAGGGAACGGGGGGGGCACGGGCAGGGAAGAAAGGCGGCAGGGAGGAAGAGAGGCGGGAGGGGCGGCAAAAGGGAGCCGGGGCCAGGGGAGGGGGAAGGCGCAAAACAAGGGGGGGGACAGAGAAGGAAGACGCAGGAGGGGCAGGGCAGGGAAAGGGACAGGGAAGGGAGGGGGAAGGGAGGGGGGAGGAGGAAGAGGCCAAAGGGAGGGACGGAGACGGGGGGGAGGGGCGAAGGGAGGGGAAGGCGGCGGGGACGGGACGAGCGGGGGCGAGGGGGAGGAGGGGGAGGGACAGACGGGGCAACGCCAAGCGCGGAGCGGGAGAGAGAGGACGGAAAGGGAACGGAGAAAGAAGGCAGGGAAGAGAGGGAGCAGGAGGCGAACAGGAAGAGAGCGCGACGGAAGGCAGGCGGAGAAAGGGGGAGAGAGCAGACAGGGGACGCGGGGGACAAGGGGGAGGCGGGGGCGCCGGCAGGGGGGCACAGAAGGGAGGGGGAGAAACAGCCCGGAAGGGACCGAGAAGAAACAGAGGGGGGGGGCAGGAAGGACCGAAGGGGGAGAAGGAAAAGGCAGGGGACCAGAAGGGAGACGACGCGGAGGAAAGAGAGGACAGAGCACGAGGAGGCGGGGGGGGGGGCGGGGAGGAAGGGGGGCGAGGACGGGCACCAAGGGGGAGAAGGGAAGAGGGGCCCGAAGAAGAGAGAGGAGAGAGGAGAGAGGAGGGCCGGAAGGAAGGGGGGCAAGGGGACGAGGCGGAGGAAGGGGGCGGGGGGACGGAAGAACGAGGAGGGGGAGGCAACCAAACGCGGGGCCGAAGAGAACCGGGAGGGAGGGGAGACAGGAGGAGGGAGGAGAGAGCACAGGCAGGGACGGGACGCAGACCGCGCAGGAGAGACCAAGACACCAGCGAGGGGGCGGAGGCAGGGCGGAGGCAAAACAGGGCGGACGGGTGCAGGGGAGGAGGGCAAAGAAGGCGAACGGGCGACCGGGGAAGAGGCCAACACAACAGGAACAGCAAAGGGGGGAGAGCAAACGGCGACGCGGCCGCGAGAGACGAGGGCAGGGCGCGGAGACGAGGGGGATGGGGAGGTAGACGAGGGAGAGCGAAACAGGGCGAACTGGGGTGGGGGGGGCGAGGCGGGAGCAGGGCGCGGCGGTGTGCGCCTCCGCCGTGGGGGGGAGAGGAGATAAATGGATGAAGCGATCGAACCCAACAAAAACCAGGGGACCGGGGAGGAGCGAAATAGGCGAGCGCAAGGGACAAGAGGAGACGAGAGAGTCGCGCGGAGGAGAGCGGAAGCGGAGCCGGGAGAGCGCCAGCCAGAGGGGAGGGGCCGGGGGGGGGCCGCGGAACGGGAGACCGGCAGCCAGGGGGGCCGCAGACCGGACGCAGAACCCGAGAGGGGGAGGGGGAGCGACGGAGCGGCGGAGGACCGGAACGGAAGGGGCGAGCGAAGCCAGAAGCCGGGAGCCCAGCAAGCCAGGGGAGAGGAGGCACAGAGGGGGGGGGACGAACAACGACGAGGGAGGAAGGCCAACCAGACCACGGAAGAAGCCGAGGCAACGGGCACCACGGAAGGAAGGCCCGAAGAGAGAAGAGAGAAGAGAGAGGAGGAGGGAAAAGCGGACAGGCGCCCACGGGGGGCAAGGACGAGCACAACCGGCAGCAAAGAACAAAACACACGAAGCAGAGGGAGAGGGCCGCGAGGGAAGCAGAGGAGGAGCCAGGAGGGGCACAGGCAGGGGAAGGCGCCAACGGAGGGCCGGAAGGAACAAACCCGAGGGGAGGCGCGGGACCGGAAGGGAGGGGGCGCAAAAGACAGGAGGGGCACAACGGAAGGAGAAAACGCAGCCAAAGGGGACAAAAGAGGACACGGGAGGAGCGCGAAAACGGGAGAAGCAGGCCGGAAGGAGAGAGCGCGGAAGGGGAGCAGAAGGCGAACGAGAGGCCAGGACGGCGGGAGAAGGGAACGGGAAGGACGAGCGCGAACAGCGAAGAGCGGGGAGGGGACACGGCGGGCACGCCCACGCAGCAAAAAGAGCCAAAAGAGAGGCAAGGCACAGAAGCAGGCCAAGAACGGAGACAAGAAACCAAAGGGCGAAGGCCAGAAAGGGGGAAGCGGAAGCAGACACCAGAACGGCCCAAAGAACGGCAAGGGCACGGGAAAGGAACGGAACAGAAGGAGGCGGACGGAGAGGGCCCACAAAAGGGGGGGAGCCGGACAAACCAAAAGGGCCCAGGAGCAAGGGGGAAGAAACGAAAGACGCGAGGAAGCACGGAAGAAGGGAGGAAAGGACAGGGCACCACAAGGGAAAGGCGGGGGGGCGAAGAAAGGCCGGAAGAGGGGGACAACAGGGGCAGAAAGAGGGGGCACAACCAAAGGGGCAAGAAGGGGAACGGAGGAAGGGAGAGGAACAAAGACAAGAGGAAGACGGGGGGAAGAGGGGGACGGAGGGGGGAACAGACAAGCCCAAGGGGAAGGGAGGAAGACAAGAAGGAAAGCCAAAAACGGGAGGGGAGGAGCGGAAGGAGCGGGGCGAAAGGAGCACGCCCACGGAGGAAAACAGGCGGCAGCGAAAGGAAGAAAGGAACGGAAGAAGAGACAGACGCAGAAGGGAGGGAGGGACCAACGAACAAAGGAAGACAGAAGGCCCCACCAGGAGGGGGACAGACGAAAGAAGCAAGGGGGGGGCCAAGGAAAGGCCAACGAAAGAAGGAAGAGAGAGGCCCCACCAGAGGGGGACAGACGAAAAGAAACAAAAGACAGCGGGCAAAACCAAGGGAGAAGGGGGCGCAAAAGAGACAGGGGAGAGGAGGGGAAGCCAAAGAGGGAGGGCAAAGCACGGAACGGACGACAGGGAGGCCGAAGAACCGAGCAAGAGGCGGGGAGGAAGGAAGAGAAGGGACGAAAGGGGGGGAAGGGACGGAAGACAGGGGGGCCAAGGCAAACCAGGAAACGGAGAAGGAGAAGGGAACGAAAGGGAGAAGGCGAAGAAAGGGGAGAAAAGGAGAGCGAAGGGGGGAAGGGAGGGAGGGACAGAAAACGGGCCGGGGGGCGAAAGGGGAAGGCGAGGAAAGCCAAGGAAGAAACCCGGAGGAGAAGAGGGGCACAAGGACGAAAGAGCCAGAAGAAGCGAGGGACAGAAAACGGGCCGGGGGGCGAAAGGGGGACGCAAGGAGAGCCAACGGAAAAAGGGAGGGAGGAGGAAACCAGGAGCAAAGGAGGGGAAGAAGCAAAGGACAGAAAACGGGCCGGGAGGCGAAAGGGGAGGCAAGAAGAGGCAGGGCGAGCAGGAGGAGAAAAAACGGAAGAGAGCAGGGGCCGGGGCGGAAGCCCGGGGGGCAAAGGAAGAAAGAGGAGCGAAAGGGACAGCAGAAAAGGAAACGGCAGGAGAGAAGGGAAAGGAGGGACAAAGAACCAGAAAGGAAAGAAAGGAGGGAGGGCGAGCAGCACGGAGAAAACGACGAAACGACAGGCCGAGACAGAAGGGCCGGGGGGCGAAAGGAGGACCGGAGGCCAGGAGGGCAGCCGGAGGAAGGAGACAAAGAGAACGAAAGGGCCGGGGGGCGAAAGGGCAGCAGAGGACAGACAAGGAAGCACAAAGGAGAGGGCCAAAACGGGAGGGGAGCAAAAGAAACCGCGGAAGAGAGAAGGGGAACAGAGGAAGGAGGCGGGGGCGACGCCCAAAACCAAAGGAAAAGGAGAAGAGCACGAGACAAGGAGCAAAGGCGGGCCGAAACGGGAGGGGAGGAAAACGGAAGAAGCGGAGGGAGCGGAAGAGGCGGGAGCAGGCCGGAAGGAACCAAGAGGGAAAACGCAAGAGAGGGCAGGAAAGGAAAGAGGCGGGGCGAGGCGGGAAGGAACCGAAAGAAAAGCACAGGGGCAAGGAAGACGGAAAAGGGGGACAAACAGAGGAGACCAGAGGGGGAGGGGAAAAGCGAAAGAGACGCCAAGGAAAGGGGGGAGAGACGAAGGCGCACGGAAAACCAAGGCCGGAAAGAGAGGAGCAAGGGAAGGAGACGAGGGGCACAAGAGGGCGGAAGGCAGGGCCAGGAAAACGAGGAGGGCGCCCCGAGGCAGAGAGACGGAAGGGAGAACGGGGGGGGGAGGAACCGAAAACGGGAGGGGAGACACCAGAAAACGGGAGGGGGCACCGAGGAGGAAAGCGGAAAGGGGGAACGAAAAGGAGCGGACGAAACGGGCGGAAAGGCAGGCACGACCGCAACGAAAGGGGAGGCAGAAGGCCAACGGAAAGAGGAACGAAGAGAAGGCCAGCGCAAAGGAGGCAGGGCGAAAGGCAGAAGAAAAGGGCAGAAGGGAAAACAGAAGAGGAGGCGGAGGACAAAGAGGCAGAAAAGGAAACAGGAAACGCAGAGAGGCCAAAGAAAGGGCAGAACGGAAAGCAAGGGACAAGAGGAGAGGGGAAAGGAGAAACGGAAGAGGCAAACACCGAGGAGGCCAAACCAAAAGAGACCCAACAGGGGAAGAAGAAGGGACGGAAGAGAGACGGGAAAAGGGGGAAACGGGAAGCCCAGGGGAAAAGGGGGAAGGCAGAAAGAGCAAAGGAGGAGAAAGAACGGAAGGGACAAAGGCAAACAAGAGCAAACCAAAAGGAGAGGCGAGCAGGGGGAAAGCAAAAGCGCACAAACCCGAAGGGCAGAAGGAAACGGAAGAGGAGGCACGGAAGGGGAGCGAAGGCAGAAAACAAGCGAAAGAGGAGGAACCAACGAAAGAAGAGGAAGGGAAACCAAAGAGGCAGGAGGCAGACGGAACCAAAGAGGGGCAAGCAGAACGAAAAGCAGAAGGCAAGAACGAAAGGAAGGAGGGAAGGAAGGGCAAAAGGCAAGGGCCGAGAAAAGAGGGGGGCCAAAGGACGAAAGGGAGGCAAAAGCACGCGCCAGAACGCCAGGAGAAGAAGGAGGAGGAGGAAGGGCAAAAGGGCAAAGAACCAAAAGAGCAAGAAAGAGCCAGAAGAAGAGGAGCACAGGAAGGAGGAGACGAAAGAGGGAAAAACAAGGGGGAAAACCGCGAACAGGGAGAAACGGGGGCGGAGAAAAGGGGGAAAACGGAAGAAAAGGGGAAGGCCGAAAAACAGGAAGGGCAAGAAAAGGAGGGGCGGAACGGGAAGAGGGGCACAGAAAGGGAGGGGAAACAGGGCAAGGGCAGAACGGAAGACCAGAACAAGAGGAAGGGCAGCAGGAAGGAAGGAGGAAGAGCAAGAAGGAACAGGAGAAGCACGAGGAACAGGAAGAAGAAGGACAAACGAAAGGAGGGGAAGGCACGGGGAAGGGGGCCAGGGGCGAAAGAGAAAAGAGGGGACGAGGCCAAAGGAGCGGGGAACGGGAACGGGAGCACGAAGGAGCAAGAAGAACGCAGAAAAGAGAAGGAAGGGCGAACCGGAAGGAGGCAAACCGCAGCGCGCCAGGGCGCGAACAACGAGGACGAGCCACAAGAGAAGAAAAAACGCCAGAAGGCGCCCAAGCGGCACGAGCGGGGGCAAGAAACGCGAGGCAGCGGCCAAGGGGACGGGAAAAAGGGAGGGGGAGGACGGAAGGACCAACAGGAAGAGGCAGGGAAAAGGAAGGGGGAAGCAGGCCAAGGGACCAAAGAGAGCAGAGGACCAGGAAAGAAGAAGGAGGAGGAAAAGGAAGAAAAGGAGAGGAGCCCCGAAACGGAAGAACAGGAAGGAAGAAGGCCGAAGGAAGAACGAAGAAAGGGCAAAACGGGAAGGAAGGGAGGCCAAAGACGAAGCGCAAGGGACCACAGAAGAAGGAACCAGGACGAGGAGGAGACGGAGGGAGACGGAAGGGAAGGGAAGAACCAAAGGACCAGGAGACAGACAAGAGACCAACGAGAGGGCGGGGGCCAGAAAAGGAAAGACGGAAGAGGAGGAGGAAGGCCCGGAAAAACGAGGGAGAGAGGAAAAAGGAAGCAACGGAAACAAGAGGGAGAGGCGGAAGGGCCAAAAGAACAAGGAAAGCCGGAAGGGCGCGAAAACAGGCCAAGACAAGAAGGAGAGCACGGAAGCACGCAAAGGAGGCGCAGAAACCGCAAGGACCCAAGGGAAGGAGAACAGGAAGAAAAAGGGGCGAAGGACGGAAAGAGACCCAAAACGGAAGAGGAGGACCAACGAGGAAGACCAAAAGAGGGGAGGGAGGAAGAAGGAAAACGGAAGAAACAGGGGAGAAGGAGCGAGAAGGAGGAGGAAAAGAGCAAGCAAAAGGGGGGAGCCAGACGGGAAGGACCCAAGAGAGGGCCCAAAGAGCGGGGCAAAAGAGGGGCGAAAGGCCCAGAGACACAGAAAACGAAAAGGGGCGCAAAAGGAAGGGGAAACCAAACAAGCGACGGGAGGAGGGCAGAAGGCCGAAAAGGGACCGAAGGAGCCAAAAGGGAAGGAGAGGGAAGAAGGAAGGGAGGAGGAAGAAGAGGCGAAAGCCAACCGGAAGGCAGGCGAGGAGGAAGGGAGAAGGAGAACAAGAAGGAGGAAGAGACGAAGCAGGCGGGGAGGGGCAGAGGAAGAGAGGAGGAACCCAGAGAGGCCGGGAGCAAGGCCGGAATGGAACCAAGAGGGCAAAACGGAAGAGAGGCAGTCGAAAGGAAAGAGGCGGGGGCGAGGCGGGAAGCAACCGAAAGAAGCACCAGGGGCAAGGAAGACGGAACAAAGGGGACAAAAGATGAGACAAGGGCGGAGGGCGAAAAGCGGAAGAGACGCCAGTGGAAATGGGGGGAGAGACGAAGGCGCACGGGAAAACCAAGGCCGTGAAAGAGAGGAGCAGGGAATGGAGACGAGTGCGCACACGAGGGGGGGGGGCGGAAGGCATGGGCCAGGAAACGAGTAGAACCGGACCGCGGAGGAGAGCGGAAGCGGAGCCGGGAGAGCGCCAGCCAGAGGGGAGGGCCGGGGGGGGGCCGCGGAACGGGAGAGCGGGGAGCCAGGGGGGGGCAGACCGGACGCAGAACCCGAGAGGGGGGAGGGGGAGCGACGGAGCAGGCGGAGGACCGGAACGGAAGGGGCGAACAGCAAGCAGCAGGGAGCCCAGCAAGCCAGGAGGAGAGGAGGCACAGAGGGGGGGGACGAACAACGGACGAGGAGGCGGCCAACCAGACCACGGAAGAAGCCGAGGCCAACGGGCACCACGGAAGGAAGGACCCGAAGAGAGAAGAGAAGAGAGAGGAGGAGGGAAAAGCGGACAGGCGCCCACGGGGGGCAAGGACGAGCACAACGCGCAGCAAAGAACAAAACACACAAAGCAGAGGACAGAGGCCCGCGACGGAAGAAGGGAGGAAGAGCGCCGAGGAGCACAGGCAGGGGAGGCCCAACGGGAAAGCCGGGAGGAAACAAACCCAAGGGGGAGGCGGGGGACCGGAAGGGAGGGGGCGCAAAAAAAGAAGAGGGGCCCAACGGAAGAGAGAAACCAGAGCCAAAGGGGACAAAAGAGGACACGGGAGGAGCGCGAAGAACCGGGAAAAGGCAGGCGGAAGGAGAAAGCGCGGAAGGGGAGCAGAAGGCGAACGAGAGGCCAGGACGGCGGGAGAAGGGAACGGAAGGACGAGCGCGAACAGCGAAGAGCGGGGAGGGGACACGGCGGGCACGCCCACGCAGCAAAAAGAGCCAAAAGAGAGGGCAAGGCACAGAAGCAGGCCAAGAACGGAGACAAGAAACCAAAGGGCGAAGGCCAGAAAGGGGAAGCGGAAGCAGACACCAGAACGGCCCAAAGAACGGCAAGGGGCACGGGAAAGGAACGGAACAGAAGGAGGACGGGGAGGGCCCACAAAAGGGGGGGAGCCGGACAAACCAAAAGGGCCAGGAGCAAGGGGAAGAAACGAAAGACGCGAGGAAGCACGGAAGAAGGGAGGAAAGGACAGGGCACCACAAGGAAAGGGGGGGCGAAGAAAGGCCGGAACAACAGGGGCAGAAAGAGGGAGCGGCAGAAGGTGAACGGAGGAAGGGAGAGAGAACAAAGACAAGAGAAGACGGGGGGAAGCGGGGGACGGAGGGGGACAGACAAGCCCAAGGGGGAGAGGGAGGAAGGCACAAGGAAAGCCAAAAAGCGGGAGGGGAGGAAGCGGAAGGAGCGGGGCGAAAGGAGCACGCCCACGGAGGAAAGAGGCGGCAGCGAAAGGAAGAAAGGAACGGAAGAAGAGACAGACGCAGAAGGGAGGGAGGGACCAACGAACAAAGGAAGACAGAAGGCCCCACCAGGAGGGGGACAGACGAAAGAAGCAAGGGGGGGCCAAGGAAAGGCCAACGAAAGAAGGAAAGAGATAGGCCCCACCAGAGGGGGACAGACGAAAAAAAAACAAAAGACAGCGGGCAAAACCAAGGGAGAAGGGGCGCAAAAGAGACAGGGGACAGGAGGGGAAGCCAAGAGGGAGGGCAAAGCACGGAACGGACGACAGGGAGGCCGAAGAACCGAGCAAGAGGCGGGAGAAGGAAGAAAGGGCGAAAGGGGGGAAGGGACGGAAGACAGGGGGGCCAAGGCAAACCAGGAAACGGAGAAGGAGAAGGGAACGAAGGGAGAACGCGAAGAAAGGGGGAGAAAAGGAGGAGCGAAGGGGGGGGGGGAGGGAGGGACAGAAAACGGGCCGGGGGGCGAAAGGGGAAGGCGAGGAAAGCCAAGGAAGAAACCCGGAGGAGAAGAGGGGGCACAAGGACGAAAGAGCCAGAAGAAGCGAGGGACAAAAAACGGGCCGGGGGGCGAAAGGGGGACGCAAGGAGAGCCAACGGAAAAAGGGAGGGAGGAGGAAACCAGGAGCAAAGGAGGGGAAGAAGCAAAGGACAGAAAACGGGCCGGGAGGCGAAAGGGGGAGGCAAGAAGAGGCAGGGGCGAGCAGGAGGAGAAAAAACGGAAGAGAGCAGGGGCCGGGCGGAAGCCCGGGGGCAAAGGAAGAAAGAGGAGCGAAAGGGACAGCAGAAAAGGAAACGGCAGGAGAGAAGGGAAAGGAGGGACAAAGAACCAGAAAGGAAAGAAAGGGAGGGAGGGCGAGCGGCACGGAGAAAACGACGAAACGACAGGCCGAGACAGAAGGGCCGGGGGGCGAAAGGAGGACCGGAGGCCAGGAGGGCAGCCGGAGGAAGGAGACAAAGAGAACGAAAGGGCCGGGGGCGAAAGGGCAGCAGAGGACAGACAAGGAAGCACAAAGGAGAGGGCCAAAACGGGAGGGGAGCAAAAGAAACCGCGGAAGAGAGAAGGGGAACAGAGGAAGGAGGCGGGGCGACGCCAAACCAAAGGAAAAGGAGAAGAGCACGAGACAAGGAGCAAAGGCGGGCCGAAACGGGAGGGGAGGAAAACGGAAGAAGCGGAGGGGAGCGGAAGGGGGGAGCAGGCCGGAAGGAACCAAGAGGGAAAACGCAAGAGAGGGCAGGAAAGGAAAGAGGCGGGGCGAGGCGGGAAGGAACCGAAAAAAGCACAGGGGCAAGGAAGACGGAAAAGGGGGACAAACAGAGGAGACCAGAGAGGGGAAAAGCGAAAGAGACGCCAAGGAAAGGGGGGAGAGACGAAGGCGCACGGAAAACCAAGGCCGGAAAGAGAGGAGCAAGGGAAGGAGACGAGGGGCACAAGAGGGGCGGAAGGCAGGGCCAGGAAAAAGGAGGGGCCCCGAGGCAGAGAGACGGAAGGGAGAAACGGGGGGAGAAACCAGGAAACGGGAGGGGGCACCGAGGAGGAAAGCGGAAAGGGGGAACAAAGAGCGGACGAAACGGGCGGAAAGGCAGGCACGACCCAACGAAAGGGGAGGCAGAAGGCCAACGGAAAGAGGAACGAAGAGAAGGCCAGCGCAAAGGAGGCAGGGCGAAAGGCAGAAGAAAAGGGCAGAAGGGAAAACAGAAGAGGAGGCGGGGGGACAAAGAGGCAGAAAAGGAAACAGGAAACGCAGAGAGGCCAAAGAAAGGGCAGAACGGAAAGCAAGGGACAAGAGGAGAGGGGAAAGGAGAAACGGAAGAGGCAAACACCGAGGAGGCCAAACCAAAAGAGACCCAACAGGGGGAAGAAGAAGGGACGGAAGAGAGACGGGAAAGGGGGGGGAAACGGGAAGCCCAGGGGAAAAGGGGGAAGGCAGAAAGAGCAAAGGGAGGAGAAAGAACGGAAGGGACAAAGGCAAACAAGAGCAAACCAAAAGGAGAGGCGAGCAGGGGGAAAGCAAAAGCGCACAAACCCGAAGGGCAGAAGGAAACGGAAGAGGAGGCACGGAAGGGGAGCGAAGGCAGAAAACAAGCGAAGAGAGGAGGAACCAACGAAAGAGAGGAAGGGAA